TCTAAAAAATTGCTTGAATAGGTTTGGAACATGGATTTCAGAACAACGAACATGGAACAGAAAATGTATTTTCTCAAGATTGAGCAAATATTAGTGTTAACTTTTTGTAACATCAGAATGAATCCGAAGCTGATTAAGAACACAATTGGAATTATAAAGACTCTGATTATCGCTATTGCTATCGTTTTACGACTTCCTTCCAATAAGTGAATGTGTTATCAAACTTTCTTAATTTCTCAATAGATAGCACTCAGAGTCTATGATATTAAGTTTACCTTTAATGGCCCATTAAAAGTAGATATTGATAATAACGTAATATTAGTCAACATAAAGGTTCAATGCTCAAGTTATCAGGTCGTTTTCTTGGTATGTAAATCGGGAGGAGTTTTGGTACTCAGGTTTCAAAGGAGTGGCAAAACCAGGTTGAATACTTGCAGATTTATGGCTCGTTCAGTGCTAACATAAATATCGAAATCCAATGAAAATAACTTCTGAGAGAATGCATAATTCATTAGAAATAATTTCGCAAAGAAAATAACCTCAAAATGTCGTGAAAAGTCGAAAGAACGAACTTTAAACTTGAAGTCAAGTCTCATGATTTTTCTATCCAAGTTCACCTGGAAAGTTTCAGTCTTGGGCAATAGCAGCTCGTGGTTTGACCACATGGGTTGCAGCAACGCCATTGAAACTGTTTGCATATTAATGGTTTAATATGAAAATTTGATTCATCAACTGTTAATAATTGAAGTGAACCTAGACTGGAATGAGAGAAACTTGAATAAGGTTGAAAAGAAATGAGCAAGCAAATGAAAGGGAAAAAAGGGAAACAACGAAACAAGAACTTTTCTCTGATAAACTTCCTGACACTCGAAAAAAAACATCCACAGATGGATTACTCTTGAGTGAGCACCATTAGTCTTTCATTGAAGATGATGAGATGAAGAAGAAGAATAAAATGGGAGAATAATTTTGTTCATTCTAATCATTCAGTTTCATCTTGATTCCCCTTTTATACTAAATATGTATTTAAAGGAAAGAAAGATACGAACAAATGAGAAATTCATTGAGTAAAGGATAACTTTTTTTTAATAAGATGCTCACTGACCCATATTGTCTCATATTATAAGCGCTGCTCCTAAGCTCATGTAAGCGATTCTCACTTTTTTTACTTTTCATCATTTTCTTTCAAATAATCGTAATCATCAGTAATTGTTTAAAACAGGGTTTTGTCTCGTTCCTCTAACATCAGATTCAAGTCTATTGTATTCATTTGAGCAAAAAATGAAAATTTTCCTCAAATTTAACGTTTTAAAAGTTGAGCTTAAACAATCCCAAGTTGCAAGTCTACTTCAAACACAACATGATGTAACTCAATTCCTTAGCTAGTAAATATGAGCAATCAGTATAACAAAAGGTTAGTTAAAAGGAAAGACCAATTTTTCGTCAAATAAATTGTTCGATGCAATTTTTGTAAAACATTTGTTGAATGATTTTTTACTTGAAAAGCGTTGGTATGCTGGATGGTGCATAAGCCAGGTTTGCATCGATAAATGAGATTGACTTGAAAAGCTGAAGAATGAAAATTTGAACCATTTCGTTCCATGCATTGCATGATATTGATAAAATGAGCTTCTGACTGTGTAATCAACTTAAAATTTATCAATTTTTACATGCAAGTAAACATCTGAAATGGACATTTACCAATATTAACTTGATTAAACATTTGCCTGGAATGTAGACAAGCCGAGTCACAGCATGAAACATGAAATGGTCTAGGAATTGTTCAGGCTGCTCATCAACCTTTAAAGCAATAATGGGTTGAAAAGGGAAAAAGAAACAAGACTGGAACCAGAATTTGAAATATTGAAAGAGTTGAAAGTAAAATGTACAATGTTGAAATGAGTAACACAAAATGTTGCACAGATTGTTGATGCATCAACCTCTCATGGGATATCTTGAAGCTTCCCTCTGACATGAAATGTTTCACTAGAAGTATCATTGAAAAATAAATCTCATTCTTTTCATCTCTATCTTCATTATAATCATCATCTTCTTTTCCTTTTTTTTCTTCTCGAAACATTTTCTCTTTGCACTCTTAAACTCTTTTTTTTAAACCAATGTTTAGCATTCACAGGGTTCACCATTATAATTTAGGTAAAAAGGTAGAATAGTTTTGTTTCATTCTCTTCCCTGTAAACCATTCAAATGATATTACAGATAAGTGTATATTATCATTTGAACATGAACTTGTTCTTATTCTTCACCTGATTCAAGGTGAAAAACATTATGAAAAGGATGTAAATTGAGAAAAGTTGAAGAGCAAAAAGAGCAAGAAAAAAGTGTCTCTTGATTTCATCTCATGAAAAGAATTGAACATCGAACTATTTCACCTTCATTTTCAACATTATTATGTTAACTCGACATTATCACCTGGTAAGTTAAACTGATTTTTTTTTCTCTCCATTTTATTCGATTTTCTTAAATTGACTTTACAAGTTTATTGTGTTGTCTTTTGCAGGGAGGGAAAAAAAAGTTGAACTTGCATTTGAAACTTTCAACTGTTCAAGAGCTGGAAAGAGCTAGTTAAGACTCAGCATGTGCTTTACCTTTATTAACCCACTTTAATTAATTGATTGCAAATGAAGAGTAAAGGGGAAAATGAAGGTGAAAATGTTTTTAAAATGATGACAAAAAGAAGATGGAAAAGACTGAAAAAACCTAAATTCATTGTAAACTATTAATCTTGTGAAATTTATTTTTGTTTGCTGGTTACTTGAAGAGTGTGTAAACCCATCAGATTTTATCAGCCAGGGAAAGGTGAAAACAAGTGAAAAGGCAGAATTGATATCAAAATAATCTCTCGAGTATTTTATCTTATTTAATGTGCTATTTTATTATTACAAATACAGAGTGAAGTGAAAGTTGGCTCAAGCATTGCTGGTTGCCTTTCAAGGCAAGAAGATGAAGATGAGGATGAAGAGGTAAATGTATATGTATATCAAGAGCTCAATCTTCATTTTCGCATTCATAAAATGTATTCCATTTTATCTTCTCTTGCTTTCTCTCTCTTTCAAGGATTAACATGGTAAATTTTTGTGGCTTTCAATTGAATCTACCTTGAGGCTGACTTTGCTTCTGTAACAAAAAAAGAAACTGAATTTCATCTCAATATTAGAGTTAAATTAAATTCATCTTCTTTGGCAGATTCAAAGTATTCAGAAGAGTTTTCAGATCAACATTCAGCTCATCATGTTGCATTACCAGTTGTAAAGTCAAGGCTCAATCTTTTACTCTTTGAGGTGAGACAAGAAAAAATTGAATTAAATCGACATTGGAAAGTAGGAAATTGGAGGGAAAATAAATCATAAAGTGTCAAATGATTATGATTATCGGTTAATCAACATTTGATTTCCTTTTGATTAGTCTTTACTTTTGGATCACTCTTTGATTGGATTGAGATACAAAGCAAATAAAGTGTAAGCTGGCCGAATCTGGTTTCTGGTTTTGGGTTTAAGCCCATTTTTATTCATATCTTGGTAAAGTTGAAGGCAAAAATTTGGTTCTTTTTGAAGAGCAACTGAATGGAGATTAGACTCAAACGTTAATCGTAACAATGATTAATGAAGAAATTAAGAGATGACAATGAGTTATGAAAGGCTTTTGTGTATTGAAATGAATCTATTTCTTATTATTTTAGTGTGTAAATGTCCAAAGGAAATCAATTGTAATCTATTGAAAAAGGTTTAATCAATCATTGGCCAAGAGTGTTTGAACATTTCAATGGAAACGGTTTCAATTATTTGAAATTCATTTTCAAGTTACACTTGACTCTTTTCATTTTTGATTGACATTCTGTTCAATGATTGATCAATTATGATTTTTAATCTGATAATACTGTCAATTATTTTGATTATCCTGTGAATGGTTTTACAAATAAATAGCAATCAACTTCACTCTTTAAAAGACATTTTATTATTGCATTTATTCAGCAATCAGATACATTTGATAATTGTCAATTTAGTTGAGAGAGAAATGAAAAAATTGTAAATTGAGTCAAAAAATATCATCTAATGGATGGAAATGAAAAATGACAAAATTGTTTGGTTGATTAAAAAATTTAATTTCAATGTAAAATGTTTAGCTTTCATGAGTGTATTTGACTTTTGATTGGATATTAATTGGTGAGTGAATATGAAATTGTTTCATTGATAATGTGACTAGTTATCATTATTGGAGTTGCCTGAAGATTCATTGTGTAAACCTTTCGGAAACAGTTAAATTGAATGTTGAATAGGAAATAAGCTTTTATCTGTTAGAATATTTTTCATGAATATTTTTGCCTTTAGGTGTTTCCAATGAATAATTCAGGTTTCTTTTTGTTATCACAATGAAAATAATTATCAGCTCAACAATGTAAACCTTTAGTTGAGTGAATTAAAGGGAAACAGAAAGAAAACAAAAAAACGATTAAAGCTTAATTGTTAAGGTGTGAACAAAATCAAGCCTTGTTGCGGCCATACATTTGCCTGTGATTCGCAAATAATATTAATAATAAAGTGTTTTGCTTTTAATAGGTTAAAAACAAATGAATATATTTGATTTGATTTGCATTTTATTTCATTTCATTGCATTCATTCATAATATATATACTTGCTAATCTAATCTAATGATAGTTTGTAACAATAAATAATGATAGAAATGTACATTTTGAACATTGCTGGGGCAAAAAAAAGAGTTGCTCTAATTATGCTGTTACATGTACGAGTTAATTTACAATGGCTTTTTTTAAATACAGTTGTACCTTAATGGGTAATTTTTTATCGTCCAATTGTTCAGCAACATTGTCTTTAGTCAATTTTGAACAACAATCAATGGATATTTTAGGTTTGTTAAAATGCAACAGGCAAGGTAATGATAAAAAAAGGTTTGTCAACTGTGTTTGGGTTGAGAAATGGGTTTCCACTGATTTACGTTGATTTACGCAAATGATTGAGCCTTACCTTGAGATGTTGATTCACTGTTTTGCTGTGATTGTTGGTCAGGACGACGAGTTATTGGAGCTGGATCAAAGCTAAATCGATTATGAGCTAACCTTGTCGCTGGATCTCGCGTTGAATCAACCTTTCCTGTATTGGAACGATCTCGAGGATCACTTGAAGCTCCTCTCATCCCAAGTCTACTACTGTGATCTTCTCTACTGGCACTTTTGGTATGTTCACTGGTCGTTCCCGATCTACTAACGCCACCGATTGGTCCACTACCACTTCCCCCTCCTGGTCCGGATCCAGGTCCACCGGTTCCTGGACGTCTCTCGGGAAACCTGGCTGCACGGGGTTGTACAACTGGTAAGATGCGACGACGTTTCTTGGGTAACTTGGCACGAGCCTGAGTGTGTGAGTAAAACATTGAAAAATTGGAGACAATAACGGGAACTGGAAGCGCAATGGTAAGTACACCAGCAATGGCACAAAGAGCACCAACAAACATGCCAGCATACGTTTTTGGTGCCATATCACCGTAACCCACAGTGGTCATGGTGACCAGCGCCCACCACAGTCCCAATGGGATAGAGTTGAAATCATTGTCTGGATTATCTTGGGTTCTTTCCGCGTAATAAACGAGAGAGGCAAAGATGACAATCACCAGAACCAGGAAGAACACAAGGAGAAGCAGTTCACCCACTGAAGCTTTAAATGTTTGTACAAGAATTTTGAGTCCCGCCGAGTGACGGGTTAACTTAAATAATCTCATTATACGGATGATTGAGAAAAACTCTAAAACATCAGCATTATCCATGTGGAAGGCAAAATTTTGAAGCGCCAGATCCAAATAAAAGGATATGGTGGCCGTAAAGTCAATTATATTGACTGCTCCACGGACAAAGTCTAATTTGGAGGGAGCCGAGAAAAATCGTACAATAATCTCTATGGTAAACCATGCATTGCAAACACATTCAATGTAGAAGAAGGCCTCATGTGGGTTTGTATGGTGTTTATCGAGTACCCATGCTTCCGTGTTCATTGAGGTTCTAACGGTTATATTGTTGAAAACGGGTACTCTCATGTTTGGATGTGTTTTCAGGCAAAAGGATAAAATGGATACACAAATGAACAAGACTGAGGCAATACCAATGACCTGTTGACAGAGAAATACAAAAAAAAGAGGAAAAATTAGTGAAAATCAAATAATGGGTTAGACAAAAGAGCAGTAAAAGTACATTAGGCCTTGATTAGTATGTATTGTATTTGGGTTTATTGGTTCACAAAATTGAACCTACTTATTGAGTTAATCAGCCTCTTTTATTTCACTCGTCCTTTAATTTAATTCAACAATAGAGTTAACTGAATTGCTTTTGAAATGATCATGTATACTCAACACTGGATTTACTCTATTTTTTGTCTTGGTATTGGACGTTTCATAACGAGATGAAATGGGTATCATCACCTTTTTTTATCAAAATGACTCGATTGTCATTCTGGTCGACACTTTTCCAATGTTTCCCTCAATGCGTACATCTTCAATCAATCAAATTACAAATTACCATTTGTTACCTTTTTCTTGCTAATTTTTATTACTCTCTCATCTGACTTGGTGTTTTTCAAAGGATTGGATAAAATTGATGAATTGAATGGAAACAAAGAAAATTGTGAAACTTGAAACCTTTTCTGTCTTTTATCCAATCTCGCTTTATTTATCTCTTCTGTTCAACAAAACCTTTGATTCTTCTGTTGACTTTTCCTTTTGTCTTGCAATATCTGGTCAATATTTAACTTGACCTGAGTCAACATTCATTTTGAATTTAACAATTACATTTCAATTATTTTCTGGAAATCAAGAAAGGAAACTAAGAGGGCTAAGAGAGTTGAGAAAAGACAATGTACTTGACATACAATTTTGGGTATAAAACCAAATAATTCATTTATCTGACCTGACCGCTGACCTGAGAGGGTATCTGGTAAACTTGATGTAATAATAATGTACACGTACAATCTGGGTATTGATTGTAGGAAATATTGTACGTGATGCATTAGATTGATTATCAGGGAAAAGGGGAGAAATAATATGCTGATTGTATCATGTTATTTCTCGAATTTCTTACTTTTGCATACAAAATTGTTGGGGTTAAACCTTGCTTTCATGTAAATTTGTGATAAATGTAAACAGAAAAGAATTAGTTTTTCATCGCAAATTGGGTTCAGATTAAAGTTGTTTGCTTTACAAATTTGTATTTACTATTTATCTTCAAGAAAAACATCGGCTGAAACATTAATTCTGAAAACAGTTTTACGTTCACATTTAAACCTAGATTCAATTCAGGTGGAAAAAGAGGACAGATTCATTGCACTCGAGAAATAATAGGCTGTGAATATTAAATTAGCAAAATTAATTGTAAACTATGAGCAATCCAAGTGAATAAGCAAAGTTAAGCCTACATTATGACAAAAGTTCAAGTAAAAACTTGAAAGGGAAAAATGGAAAACGTTGCTTTTGTAAAAATAAAAGTAAAATCAAGAGATGAAAGCTGACAAAAATTGGGTTGAATGGGAAAAATAACCTAAAACTTACTTTAGCTGGAAAAGAAGAATATGGTTCATCAAAAAGTGACCAGATTTTGGGTTTAACTCTTTGCCACCAATTCATGGTACCATTAAGATAATCGTCTTCAAAGCCAAATTTAACAGCAATTTCCTCGTCAGTTGGTTTGTCAGTATCTAAATCTAAACGGTCAAGGACCGCCAGAGTATCTTGCGTATCTCTATGCTGTGTATAAGTCATCCAGCAACATGGTTCAACCTGTTAACAAGCAGAAAAAAAGTAATTATTGAATAGATTGAAACATTGAAAGAGAAACAAAAAAAAGATAATCCTTTTTTAAAAAATATTTATCCTTTCTGGTGAGATAAGCACAATAATGAATCATTATTAATGACTAGTCTTTCACTTGTCTTCAACTCAATAGTCACTGATAACACTGTGTAAAAAAAGAGAGGGAAAAGGTTTAGTTTGGGAAACATTTAATGCTGACGCCATTTTGAACTTGTGATGTTTCTTCAATTTGTCTGTCTGTTAGCAGTAATTGTCAGACTAACCAGACACTTTTTACCTCTCAAAGTACCATTATTAATGTATCTGTGAAAGTGTTCAACCTTCTAATGAATCAATTAGTCCATTAAACAGCAAATAATTACAAATGTTATTCCAAGATGTTTCGTTGTTCAGGTAAGATTTTCTCATCGATAAAAATTTCTTTTTTTACATGATTTAGAGTGTTGATTAGCTTATTATTTAATGAGTGCTAGACACTGCATTTTTCATGACATTATTCCGTGTTTCTCTCTGATCCTCATAACTGTTAGTTACTATTTGAATTTACTTTCATTGGAATAAATATACCAGCATCAAAGCTATCATGATCGTTAAGAAATCTGTTGCAAACATTTCCACCGTTTTTTGTGCTCCAACCAAAGCTATTAAATAATGAACTGACATTCTGGCTGCTAAATTTCATGGTTTTATACAAGAATTACAAGATTATAGATTATTGATACAAGAACAGAATATTGTTTTTTTCAGTTCATCTTTTCAATCATAAACATTGAAAATCTAATTCGCTAAGATACTCTGTCGTGAATAGTTAAGTTAAACGTTATCATTTCTTTAGAAAATCCTTTTAATAACATAAATTTCAAATGTCTTTTGTTTTGTTCACCTTTTAGATGCTGGTGGAAGGAAGATAATGGCTATGAGTCGTAACTTATGGTAATGGTTTGCATGATGGTTCACAGAGGTAAAAATTGTAGTTTTGTTTCTACTTTTTCCTTCTGTCTTCTGTTTCTATTGCATGTACTTATCGCTTAATTTTTTATCCTCATTCTCATCCTTTGACAGTTAACAGTTGAAAGAGACAAGAGAAGGATAACAATGATCATAATGACAAACAAACACTCGCATCATCATCAAAAGAAATGATAACTTTAGTTATATATTAGATGATTATCATGCTCGAGGCCAGATTTATGATGAATTTACATTTGGTTGACTGGATTACTCAAGGCATTACACTTACAATATAATACATGGTTTCACTGTTTTTTTCCTGTCATCTTTCCATTCACCCGAAAACACAATCACACATACAAATTTACACACAGACATTATATGGTTTACCATTTTGGCAATGTCAATGTCTTACCTGCAGATTAAAAAGGAATACAAAAAACACTGTCAACCACATTGTCTGTACTTTAACTCCAGCCATCAGTGTTCATCAACATCCAATTGATTAGTTTTCATCAACAAAAGCAGCCCATTATAAAGGATATTTTTCATAGATAATTAAGGAAAGAAAACAAGTCGAGCAAAAGAACAGCATTAACATTCAGGATTAGATTAAGCTCTTCTTTTTTCGTTTTTTAACCAACAATTTCGATTCAACAACTAATCGAACCCTAACACTTAACGCAACTTTACTTTTAACAATAGCCTTAATCTTTTCTATTTCATCACAGTTTCCTTTATCAACTTCAGCTGGGAATGCACTACATAAGGATGAGCAGACATTCAACCTTCACAAACACAAAATGCTAGGAGACGCTCGATTTTAGGTAAGTTTCGATACTAATCTTGAACATTATACCTGTTCACTAGTCAATCTTGAAATTCATCATTCTCGTTGTTTCATTGAGATGCGATTCAACCATTAAAATGCAATTCATTCAAATTAATTTAATTTTCTTTACTTCTTTTAGCTTGTCTCATTCGGGGAATCCAGAGGAAGTTGAAGAATTTAAAGATTTTGCCTTCATGTTTGGACACTTGGACTTGCTAACGCCATGAGGAGTAAAGCTGTATGGATTTCAGCTAAAAAGAGATCAAGAATCGAATCCAAATTACGAAATGTTGTAAAAATAATCTCGATAATCGAGTTTGCCATGTTGAGCTATTTGTTGCATAGCAATATTATGTAAACTAATTAAGTTGATTATTGTGAATAATCCAGTCAATATTAGTCCATGTTTTTCTGAAAGGTAGTTTGTTACTTTAGTGCAACCACTTTTCAACCCAAATTTAATCTGTATCATATCAGTTTCTGGTAAGTCAACAAACATTCATGTTATCAACAGTACATATAAACCACATGGAATGAGATTAAAAGGATATTGTCTTTACCTTGACCACTTGTATAACACTGATGAAACAAATGATTATTAGCCATCAACGATCCAAAAACTAATCACTGTAATCACAGTAATCAAATAGTTTTTTTATAGCTTCTCGTTTTTATATTGTTCATTGCTTGTCATCACAGCTACAGTAAAAATACAAGCACACACAAAAGGCTAAAGCATGTAAAAACAAATTAAATAAGGTTAATAGTTACTTATTTGATTTAATTCACTTTCCAATGTTAAACTAAACATTACTATTTTTATTTGTCCATGTTAATGGATTTCTGTTGCTAACGCTTATTGTCTGACTTTTTTTATCATCGTTGATGGTTAAGCTTCAAGTGATAGTTTATTAGATTTAAAGACGAGGGTAAAGTCCGAGCATCTCATAACTCAGAGTTACTGTTGTTTAATTGATTAAAACCACTGTATAATCAAATTTCAAGACTAACATTTTTCGCTCTTCACCTTTTCATTCCATTCCTCTAATCATTGTCTTCATAACGGTTATTTTAGGTCAACAGTTCTATCAACCAGTTTCAAGTAAATACTGGTTTAGAGTCAATTCATTCAATTTATCTGGTTAAATACTGGTCTTATTCAAAATTTAGTTTGTTTGTTAATTTGACAGTCTCTTCCACTCCAGTAACTGTACATTTGAACAATATATAAAGCCAATGTATCAAATTTTCTGTCCAAATTGTGCCCAAACTGAGCGGGTTCTAAAAAAATTACATATCATGATTGGAGCCACTAAAATGGGAAGCCTTATCTCAGAATTCAGATCTAAGAAATTCGTGAAAATAGAGGCTGGAGGAAAGAATGCAGAATCCGTATACAATAACATTGAGTGAGGAGGAAAAACTTCTTTGTTATTCAGGTTGATGGCTCATTGTTGGACCAGGATTTTATGCAAAACTTTGTCTTCAAGTAAAGAGCAAAGTTTGGTGAAAAAAACCGGTGCCTAAGCTGTACAAAAGGAAATCTAAGTTTTAATTTCGAACCAGATTTTGCGAAGATTCTTCACCAGAGAAGTTTTAAATTCAGCAAATAATAGAACCAATTTGATACCCTGCAATCAATAGAGAGTCAACCTGCGAAATTTCAAAGTATTCTTAAAGAAAGACTTTTTCACCTCAAAATGAATATTTTCAATTCGACAAAAAGCTAAAGATTTCAATTTTAGGATTTGGTAATCTGACGATGGTTTAACATCAAGACTTCAAGTCTTTTTGATATGGATTGATTGTACTCACAATTTTTTCATTAATAATTCGAGTCTTTTAAATGTTGATTTAATGTACTTTGCTCAAAAAAATAACATCGCAAGTCTGCTTGTATTTTAATAATACATTTAAATTGAGCGCATTTTGTCACTTTTAATATGTCCTTTATTGTCCAATTACAATTGAGTCTAATCTCACTGTGAGATTCTCACAAAATGCCAGTCAAATCCTGAGTTAATGTTAATCTTGATTTAAGATATCATTATTACAATTTTGTGCTCTCTTGTTGTTATTGTGATTTTACCTTTTCTGGTAAACATTTTCATGTGATAAAAACTATTGTTTATTGGTAATTTTGTCTCACAGTTAAAACAAAGCTGAGGACATGAAAAAAAGGAGCAAAGTAATAGGTAAAAACGTAAACTGTCTGTAAAAAGATGTAACCTTTGCTTGAGTTACTCCCTGGTAAATAGAGACTACATTTCAAGTCATTGTTATGTTTACTTATCATCAGAAAAAACAACAACAAATGAGCAACTTTTACCATCATTATAACCCAAAATAATCGTTTATTTTTTTTCTTCTGTTTCCTCAAATTTTCCTGCCTTTTTTCATCTTCTCTCTTGTTCAGTTTCATGATTCCATTCTCTCTCAACCTTCCCTTTTTATATCTCGACTAATATAATGTTTTCTTGTCTAAGTGTATGTGTGTGTGTGTCTGAGTTAATAGATAAAGTAAATCACAAGTGAATAAATCAACGGAAAATTTTGATGCTGGTAAGACTATTTTTGACTATTTTCTGGAGCAATTTCTCATCACTTTTTAACAGCTTTTTTATAATCAACTTACAACTCTGATTTATTTCAAATTTCGTTTAATCTTTTAGTTTTTCCATTCATTTCTATTTTACTCAGATTACTCGAGTCTGGAGAAGCAAAAAAAACTGGTCAATTTAATTTGGAAACTTAACCCTTGGCTATCCAATTTTAACCAGTCAACTATTTCATCTCGACACTGGTCAGCTTATTAAGATGTCTTCACGTCTCCAAATTGGTCAAATATTTGACAAATGTAATCAACTTTATCAATTTGATGGTGAAAATTTCATCAACAAAATGGTTTACCAAAATGTATATTGCATTTTGTCCTTTTGTTACACTTGGATTTCTGGTTAAACTATTCAATGGTTGTATACATGTTGATTATGTTGACCATGCTCAGACAATGATTATTGATTATTGCTAGTCGTAACCTGAAACTATTAACAATTTATACATCACCAGAGATTCTCACTCTAATAATATTACTAATTAACTCAATTGATGATTTATTGATCTTCTTACATAATGTGATTATCGATCCTTAACCGATTAATCGATAAACCCTTTTCCCTTTCATTACAGCTGTTTAATCTAACACTTGTTAATCTTTACCTGTTTCCCTACTCACAAGCAAATTGGTAATCAATATATTCAATCTTTCTTCATTAACTGTGAACATTTGTTTAATTGTTTTTTTTTCAACAATTACTAATTTATATTTTTTCACTCAACAGACAAATTCAAGACGTAAGAATAATTATGGTTAATTGGACAGCAAAGTGAAAGATGTAACATCATTAACTGATATTGATGGATTCATGGACGAAACATTGGACCATTAATTGTTTTCATGTCCAGTTACTATTTTTGGATGGTTTTGTGGATATTTTGATGTCTGGTAAATTCAAACTTACTTGATTAGAATCGAGTCCCCAAAATTCAAGCTCCTCTTCAAACAATGGTCCACACACGTCCGTTGGATAATGTAGTTTACCTGTTCGATAATAATTAAGTATTTGACCAAAAACTCCTGGATGGCGATCAAAAAAGTATTCATTTAGAACTGGGTCATAGTTCGCTAAGGCATCCGTTAATCTGGATAACCGGGTTGCAGGAATTTTCTTTAAGGTTGCCTGAAAAATGTGGATAAAATGAAACAAAGTCGTCAGTATCAACACTCAAAGAGGATACAATTGTGATTACTTTTATCCAATTTCCAGAATTGAATTCTATTTTATTTCCATAATTATAATCTAAAATAATCTCATATATCAACTGGAATCACTTTTGACTGAGATTTGACACGATAAATGGCATTAAATTCAATGGTAACAACAATGTAACCTGCAATGTTATTACATTGTACTTTCAACGTATTCATATTTTCTCCTGGATAAGATCTTGTTTCCTTTTATACTCTTAACGACTTTTATTCACCTGTTTGTTTGTAATCACACCAGCAAAGTCAAAGAAATGAGACGGAAATCATCATAATTTGAAATCTATCAAGTGATTCTCAACTTATAACCAGAGTAAACAATTATACCAATTTTCAATCCCTTTAACCAGCTCTGAAGTCAACACTAAAGATTTACAAAAATGTTGCAAATTTTACCAGATCGATACAATTTTATTGATTGATTTTTGGAAACTTGTTTCATCTGAATAGCTCAGTGAAATAAAGTATTGAAATGACCATTAGTTTGTAAACATTAACAAATCTACCTCAACTCATTCAACTAAATGAATTTAACTCGATTAAATAGGAGAAGGAAAGTGTATTCAATTATGCTTTTTAATGTTGAATGAATTTCAACGAAAAGAGCAGAAGCTACAAAAATAATAGACAAAAATATCCAACTACCAGCACATAAAATTGTAAATATCAAAGTAAGGAACGCAACTTTAAATTTCAACAAAATTACCTGTTCTATGGTTCATTTCATGATTTTTAGGCTCAAAAAATGGCTTAACTGCCTTGTTATCGCTAGAGTGTAACAATGTAATGATGATAACAATGAATTTATCAATAACGTGTTAATCAAGTTAAAATGGTTTAAAACAAAGAGTAACCTTAAAATGTGAAAACGACTGCAATTTTCATCATTTTTTTCACTTCATTTTTCCTTTACACTGAGTCTAATTCTGGTTTTATATGGATTTTTCACCAATTTTTCTGCTGATTCAACATTTGATGGCCAAATTTTCATTCTTCTCTATTCCAAAGTTTCACCCAAACAGAAACAAAAATGAAGATAAAAATGAGAGAAGAAAAATTCTGCAAAATTTCCAGTTGAAAACTCAAGTTACATGTAAATAACGTTTAACATGTAATTCAATAAAGACTAAACATTTTTGGATAAAATTGTCACTAACAATTTTCCCATTTCAACATTAATGAGAAACAGATTAAACATTTTTGTTCACCAACATGAAATGATAATACAATGAAAATGGGTAAAACTGTTAACAATTGGTAAATGGGAGAAGAAAAATTTACAGAGAAAAAAATATTTTCTAAACAATTTCTTCAATTGTGACTATCGATAATAATACAAATTGAAATGGCGAAATGATGATTTGTCGATGATAATGGAAACTGGGAAGGAAAGGCAAAAATAATAATAATAATTGTGCTTAAAGGTTGTCCTTTTATAATGCATCAAGAATAATGATATTGAGTATGATGATGATTAGGTTGGTGAAACTACAAATGAATGATATTTCCATGGTTATAGTCGAGTTTACCTTGAGGGTGTAAGCAACTGAATGATGGAGAAGAAGAAGAAAGAAGAAAGAAAACCTGAAAATCTTTTTCACCATCTTTTTCGTCGCTTTCACTCTTCTTTTCATGAATATGATGAAAATGCTGCAGGCTGTCATCCTGAACTTTTCCTCTTCTCCTGGAAAGAAAAGCAACAACAAAAAGAAGAAACTTTTTTTCCTCTTTACCTATTAAGAATGAGAAAAAGCATGTAACATTTTAAGGCCATTTAATAACATTTATTAATAATAACCATTTGTGGACAATAATTTCCATTTAAATTAACTAAAATTTAGTTAAACTAATAATTAAATAAGCACCAGGTCCAATTGACCAAGCTCTAGTTCCAGACATTTTCAAGTTACCACTTTGGAGTCTTAATTTCAACTCTATTCAATAATCCTTTAGTTAAAATAAAGAGTTAGTTTTGCCCTTCTGACCATTGTTAAGAATAAGAAATAAGACAGGGAAATAGACAGAATAAAGAAAGAGGAGAATAATTTCGACCATTTCTCTTTCTCAAATTAAACACTTAATGTTTGAATGTTACAAGCATTTTACTCGTTTTCTTCTTCTTCTCCTTATTTTCAGGTAATTTCAGAGTAAAAATGATTACATTTTTGTTGCAATTTTGCTTTGATCATGTTTTTAATTTTGTGAGTCTTTCAATTATTCAAACCTTTAAACTGCTTTCAGCTTGAAAGGAGAGTAAAGAGTAAAATGAAAAACATTAGTAAAGTGAAACATTTTTAATGACTAAATGATTGGAAAAGATTCATCAAAACTCTTTTGAAATTTTTCATTTCGATTGATCAATTTTATCGAATTACCATTTTCAAGTCTTGCAGGGAATCATGAAGAATGGGTTCAACAATGAATTGACTGGAAAAGTTGAATATCATTTCTGCATTTGTGAACAAATTTTGACTCAATAATTGACTTTGTAAGCTACTCTTTTACATGTAAATATGTCAATCATTTGTTGGCCAATTTTTGGGTTTATTAAAATGCTTTCAATCTTTCTGATAAGTAAATTAACTTTTACATAAAGTTGTATTCACTTTTAGTATTGATTCAATCAATTTGTAATGTTTCAATTGAAACCTTTTTCACGTTTCAATTTGGATAATTTTTTCTCACCAATTCTGTTGATTCAATTTTTCAAAGGTTAACCGATTGAAATATGAATTGTGATCTGAGTGTTTTAATTTGTTCTTGTTCGTTGATTAGTGTTTAGTCAAATGTTCAACTTGAGATGAAATGTAAAAATAGTTTGGTTAACTTGAATGTTGTGTAACAAAGGTGGTAAAAAAGGGTAAAGATGATGAGGATAAAAGTGAAAAGACTGAGTTAATGATGGTGAAAAGGCTCAAGGTGCAATAGCTTTTTTTGTGTGTGTCTTGATTCAAGATAATGATGAGCATGAAAAGACATTCACATTGATAGAGTAAAATGAGTTGGAGGTTGAATGTTGAGGAGTAAGATGATGATGATGATGAGGTGAAAGGTAAGGTAAAATGGATTGAAAAAATTTAATCCAAAAGGAGAAGAGAAGAAAAAAGATGAAGAATGATGAGGAAAAATGATGGAGTAAAGATTGAGGTTTAAAGTGTATCTGTGGTTGATGGCAGTGAATTTGATGGTGATTGAGATGAAGATGATTAAAAGTTTGAGTTGGAAAAGGGTTCGAAATGGGAAAGAGATTGATTTCTCTGGTGTAAAAGATGAAAACAGAAAATGGTTCCAAAAAGAGAAATGGAGATTAAGGGAGAGAAAAATGAAATTTCATTTCTTTCATTGGCTAAAAAATGATGGACATTGATTTGAAAAAAAGATGTTGCTCGAGAAAAGGTATCGAGACAAAAAAGGTGCAAAGAGTCGAGCAAGTCAGTTTCATTTCAATTTCCCAAACTTATTGACTAAAGCTTCTTCATTTGAATCATCAACAAGAGTTCATATAAATCTATAATTAACAATTCCATGGTTTCGAGACTCGACTCATGAAGTCTGTCTTGTATTATATTACAGTTTAATTTTTTCAACGATTTGCAGCTTTGCTTGTAATGTAACCAAAACATATCCGAAAAAGCTGTTAAGTCATGTTACAAGTTTTTTTAGGATTGTTGCTCTTTGATAACATAATGTTAATAGATTTTTTCATTTTACCATGATTTTTCAATTGAAATGTTGGCTTTTGTTTCCCTTTTACCTTTTCAAATCTAAAATCAAATATAATCAAGATGAAAGGCAACATGGACAGAGACAAGAAGAAGATGAAAAAGGTCATGAGCCGGTGCAATATTGAAAGTAAAAGGTACAATGGACTGAAGAGTGAAATGAAAAAAGGAGGGAAAAGGTGTTTCAATATCTTGTTAAGAAGAAAGTTGAATGGAAAAGAAATGAAAAGTTCAATTTTCCTGTCATCATTTTCAACTTTTTAAATTTTCTTTTTCTTTCGCTTCACCATAAACTGACATTTTCCTGAGACTTGGCTTCAAGAAAATGAAATGGATAATACAAATAATGTTGATCAAAAAGAAAATGTGATCAAGAATTGGAATGATGTTTATTTGCTTGTTGTTTACCAATGATTAAATGATTTTTGCTCCTCTCCATCATCTTCCATCTTCTTCATCATGCTCTTCATAATCAATCTTTCCATTTCTGGATCCAATGTGTAACTATTATTGTCATCAATAGGAGTCAACATGGAAGAAGCGAAAGAAGAGGAAAAAAGATTTTCTCATTTCACGTTTTCTTCCCAAACACAACATCATCACCATTGACAACAAATAACACAACAAACAACATCATGGTCATTACCTGATCTTCATCTTCTTAACACCACCAAAAATCTTTCCTCAACTAATCATCCTTTTTTTTCTTCATCTTCTCACCTTTTTATTTACTTCTCCATGAACATTGATAGAAGAAGATGAAAGAGGAAAGAAAGTCTATTGTTAGAGCGCCATTATTCTTGTTCATCCTACATTTATCTTGGTCACTCATGAAAAGAAGAAGATGATGAGGAGGAAAATGATGATAATGATGATGAGATGTAGATGAAAGACTTGGTTGAGGCAAGAAAGTACAACTTGGTGAAAGGAAAAGTAATATTAATACCATTTGCTGTTAAATGCGCAAAAAATAAGCAACTTTAAGGTGAAACTAACTGATAACTGGATAAACTGATAAAAGATAACTGGGAGTTTTCACTCCCAGTTTCTAGATAATGTGACTTTAACTGAAACTTTGAGCCAAATTTTCAGGGAAAAAGGCGAAATCAATAATTAATAGATAAATCTTCAAGAATTTAAATAATCTATTCAAACGAAAATTTAAAGATCGCTCGAAAGATAATTAATTGGCAATCAATTTCCCATCTTAAAACATGAAACATTTTCCACTTTAAGCTTGAGAACTGTTTATGCTACAAAAAAATAAATGTCACTGAACGGTTTTCATCCAATATTTTTCGAAAAAAAATGTTCTATTCTGTAATGAAATTTTCATTTTTTAAGAATTTCCAATTCTTTGTTTTCAATTTTTCGAAAATTTCGTTAACCATTTTCGAACCAAAATTAGCAAGTTTAAGATGAGAAAACATGATTTCAAAGAACTCTTCATTTCAAAAGCTTGACTCAATTTGATCATCATTTGAAAAGATTTTTTCGTTTCAAGGTTTCCATAAAACAGTCTTTACCATTTCGAAACATTAACAGCTTCGATTGTATTATTGTTTCAATGAGTTTATTGCAATTAATATTCAATTCATTGAGGAAATTCTTGAAATTTTTCACTTCTCTTTTGTTCATTATCAAATGGTTGATGTTTACTGAACGAAAGGTGAAACATTTTTTGCTCTCATTTCTATCATCATTTTCTGATCATGATTATTTTTCACCATTTTCATCAATGTTCTCTGTTCATTACTCGAGGCTAATTTTATCAAATTTTCTCAACATTGTAAACACCTTTTTCATGGCACATTATTTTCCAACCATAATTATCTTCATCATCACCATTGTTACTAAACTGTCAATTTTCCTTCTAATCATTTTCGCCATCTTCACCTTTCTTTCTTCTTCTTTTCTCTCCTCTTCATTCTTCATGAAACTTGTTCAATACAGACTTTCACATCATTATGATGTTTCTTCATCTATTATTGTCTTCCCTTAAATAAGCCAGTTTTCATATCAAAATGTTGTCATCTTTAAAGATGAAGAGACGAAGGAAAAGGAAGAGACTTGAAGATGAAGGCAAAAAAGATATTGATGTTTCTTCACATTTCTCGTGAATTAACTTTACATTAACCAACATATAATTGAGATAATAAGAGTCTTGAAACACTTTCTTTCCCTCATCGAGTGAAAATAAAGGCAATGGAAACAAGTTCTTGCCTCTCTCCTTTCATCCACCAATCGTCACATTCACATTAATAATATATCATGCAGCAATCGTTTCTTTTCATCACTTTCATCTTTTCCTTTTCCCTTTCCATTCATATCCATTTTCAAGATCAATTGTTGACTCTTTAACTCTTCAATAGGATTTACAAATAATCATCATTGCTGCTTCAATGGATACCGTTTGTATTGATGTGATAAAGTTAAAGTGTGAGAAGATGAAATAGTAAATGGAAATGTTATCAATGTTCAGATTCCAAAATTGGATATAGTCAAGGGTTGAGATGATGAGAATGATGATGTTAGTCAAGATGAGGTTAAACCTTTTCATGTTTAAATTTAAATCTATTTGAACAAACAAATTGTTCTGACAAGTTTTTTTTACTCTTCATATTTTTGCCAGATTTTACCAATTTTTCTTTTATTCAAAAACATTTTTTACTCAATAAGTCTTTGTAAAATTGAGCCAATCAAACCTTCAAATCTGATCAAATCATGACAAATGAAATTTCTGTTATTCATCAACTGATTAAACCAAAGTCAAGTGTACTGTTGAGTTTTACCCTTGAGCTAGACTGCAGTTGAAGGCACAGAGCAATATGTTGTTTGATAAGCAAATTAGTTGGACAACAATAGTTTCAAAGCGTATTAAGCCAGAGGAAAAGCCGAGAATCTGGAAAATGGCTCTTTATTCGAACATAAAATCCAATCGTACAATCAAACTGAACAATTTAACGATTAGACTAAAGTTGAACCTTTGGTATTAATTGCTCGACTAAGCGTGAGTAAGTGCCACCTAAAATCAATATCCAGAGTAAAATCAAGTGATACATATGATCATAAACAAGCAAGGTGACATTCACCTTTAGCATATTTATAGCATTCTTCACTTTTTTTCAACTATTTTTTTCAATTTTATTAAAAGCGTCACTAATTTTTTGCCACTTAGTTTTGCCATATTAATTAATAGTTTTCAATTAAAAATTCAAATTTTGAAAAGGGCAAATTTCACCATTTCCTATAAAACGCTGTTATCTTGACAAAAGACAACACGCTAAACGAAACTTCCAAATTGTTACGAAGAATATCCTGTAACGAAGTCTAAGAAGTGGTGCTAGAAATCTTCGATTCTTGACAGCCTTTTACATAAAGCATGAACTGCTATAAGATGATTCCACATTACTAGTAGTGACTCAAAATTACAAAAAAACTTTCAGTTCAAGGCTGTTTGATACAATGATAACATGAATTAATTATCAATCGTTTTTTAAGCAAATTGACTTGGCTGAAAAAAAATTTCTGAAGCAAGAGAATGTTAATTTCATCGTCTGAGAGCAGATTTTTTAGCAGAATATTGTATTGTGGTGCCAATTGTCGGTTAACCTTACTCAGCTGCATCTTGAAATTATTCACTAGATAAAATAAACAATGTATTAACCATGAACATTTTAACATTAGCATTTCAAATAGTGACTAATCCAATGGTGCTATTGGATAAACTTTTTACTGTTTGCTAATGTGGGTATTGTAGGTTAGAGCAGCGTATAAATAGTAGAAAATCATTTTTTTGAAACTGAATGTAAAAGGTAGAGGTAAACTACTTTAAGGTATTTCAAACCGATGTAACTTAACTAAAAGATTAAAAACTTCCAGTTTGATATAAATTTTGTTACAAAAATAATGTATTTTACCATTCTGTTGCTAACAATTTCAGTGAATAAGTATGTTTGCACGCAATTGGCCCCAGACAACCAGATACGTGAAAAGCCTGGAAATGGAGTCACTAATAAATTGACTGAAGATGCTCCCGTTACTGAGGATATTTTCGCTTTTTCTAGACAAATGGCACGGTTCATCGGAATAGAAATTGTGTCGCCAACTACGCCTATGACTACTTCAACTACAGTGGAGCCAAATACGCCAATGTATGATAGGTTACAATTTAATACCAACGATACTGATATGGACTCACCAGATCCGTCCGGTCAGCAAGTCAATGATTTAAGTCTTAAGTCTTACAGTAAAATCTTTCTTAAATTTTTGATCAACAATCATGCTTGAACTTTTAAGCAATAAAATTTTTTTTCTAACGAGCGTATAAGCTGGCGTGATTACATAGATTGTGATAAAATTTGCTGGTTCAGACAGCATCTTTGATTTGTTCAAAAAGACACTTATTATTCCATGTTTCAATTCAGTTTTTTTACAATTTTAACCCTGTCTATTTTTTCGAGTATGATACCATCACTATATTTTTCAGCATGGTCAATGACATCGATTCTGCTAAGATTTAGCTGGCTTAGACGGCATCTTCATTATGTTTAAAAAGACATTTTAAGGTTTCCCTAGCAATTTAGCAATTTATAACAATTTATAATCATTTATTGTGAAAATGTATTTGAAGGTGAAATGGGGAAACATTTTTGTTGAACACCAGAAAAACTTGGTCCTATCCAAGTTTGATGATTTTATCGGAGCAAACTCGTGTCTTTTAATTTTCATCCTCTTTTTATCAACTTGCCAATCATGAGAGTAATCAAAAATACAGAATCAATCTGAGGTGATTCCTCGAGACTCAACATTGATCTTTTTTTCTGATGAAAAAGTGGCAAAAAACAAGTTTGATTAATGATTAATATTTCATAACTTTTTTTCTTGATCAAATCATTATGAGTTGAATTCAGATCTTTGGATTTAATTAACTAAAGATTCACTTTTACTCATCATGTTTTCACATTTTTTGCTTCCTTATTTTATTTTTGCTCAACTCTATTGATAAAATATATCTTTCCTTTTGTTGTTTATTAATTATTCAAGAGTAAAATGAAGAAGCCAGAAATGATAATCATTATCATCATAATGTGATGATATTTACTCAAGGTTTCAGTCAAACTTTTTTTCTCTTCTTCTTCTCTCTTCATCCTGTTTTTGGGCTTTTTTTGTTCAGTTACGGATTCTGTAGTATAATGTTTAATTTATGCTGTTAAAGGGAAGCAGACATTTTCAGACATTGTTCAGATCAATTCAGTGAAGCTTGAACATTTCATCAAGTTCATCATGATGCTTTCCTCTTATGATTATCATAAATTGTCATTCATTGGTTAACAACATTTACTTTTCACTTTTGCGTCCCTTTCTTCTGCTTATTCTTGGTCAGTTATTAGCTCATATTGCAAGCACAAGCTACACTCGCAATCAAATTGATTTTTCAAGTGTTAATCTAATTTTGTCACTTTGCTTGGCAGCTTTTCCTGCTTCAAGTTTGCTTCAATGTTTCACCTGTTTGATAGCAGGTTAAGTTTAACACAAATTAGTTTGTATTATTACTGCAACAAAAAGCCATATCGATTAAACCAAGACCAGTTTATTTGAACAAGAGTCAACCCACAAAAGATTGCAGATTGAGCCAAAATATTGTTTCGACTTGCAAAGTCTCATCATCGACCTTTCTATTCTCGATTTGGATGAACCTGAAAATTTTAAACATTGAATTTAATGCCAGGATAATGAGTGTTGTGTCAAGATTTCAATTGCTTATCGTCAGAAAATTTGATTTCAAGCTTTGAAACTAGAAATTATTGAAACATTTGGATAACAATAAGAATTTTTGTTGATTTTATTTTTATCTGTTACTTAGCAAAGATTAAATGAAATTGAATCTCACCTTATAAGTTTCATGGCGAATGCCTCCAACATTGAGCACGACCCGGTTCTCTGCATCCAAGTTCATATTTCATCTGGATTATTTAATATGAGCTCGGGATAAACACTTTTCCCGGCTCCGTTGTTCAATATAATACAATGTGAAGCAAAATTGTGTGAAGATTCAAAATTTCAATTGATTCACCAATTGACTATTTACACTTCAATTGACAAACAAACAAACAAAATTGTTCACTTGACTGAGTTATTCCGATGGCAGCCTCATTGGTGACAACAGTAATGAAGACAATGAATATGCAGCAGCAAAAAAAAGAGAGATGCTAATGAATGAATTAATGAACTTGTGGTAAAGATGAACAAATTAAATTTTAAAAGGGCGACAACAAAATTATCCAATTAATTGTAATTTCAATGGTAAAGTGATGCTGGTGACGATGAACAAGATGATGAGACTGGTGAAGATGATGATGATTCCAATCCGATTAGGTTGAACATGACTTAGAAACAAAATAATCCAATAACAAATAAATGCTTCTTTTGGTTGAAACTAACCTGAAACTTGAAACATTAACCTAATCATAACAACAACATTTTGAGCTTTCAAAGTTAACTGACAATTAACTTGATTATAAATTATTTAAAACATAAAATCTATTAAAATTGTCCAATCATTTACTCAACAGAAAAAGTCTAAAAAGTCAACAAATCAACAAGTAATAATTATTAACTAATTGTTAACTAAACCCCGATCCCCATTCATGTAAATTGTTTATAATTTACATTTACTTCATTCGTTGATCATTTCATGATCATTGTTCAACTGTAAACATTCAGTCAATGTCATCCATTGTAATCCAAAGAGTTTAATGATTTAAATCTGCAATTAAAAGAGAAGAACAAAAATTGGGTTAAAATTGGGTTTAAATGTTTCTTCCAATCAAAGATATTCTCGACACTCTTCATGCTTGTTCAGCTGTTGGCACAGAATTTACTCTTTCATGATTATCATTGGCTCATCTTCATAATCATTCAGTAATCATATAATTTCCGTTTCCTTAAACCATTACAAATGCAATAACAAATGATGTAAAAAGGAGGGAAAATTATGTTCACAATAGACTCTAACAAGCGAAAAGAATTGAAAATATTTCTCTGATTTATCAATTGAATCAGCAGATTGAAAATGTTTATATATTATACATTATAAGTGATGATATTGTTTGAAAAACAAAATTATTTGCTATTATAATATCTGTCTATTTACTATGATTATTAGATTTGGCATTTTGCTTTTACCTTGTTCATCTTTGATGCTTCAGTTTACTCATAATTTCAATAGTATTCAATCAATATTATGAGAGCATCAAATCAGGTAGGAAAAAGTGTCAAATACAATCAGTAAATCAGTAAATATTGGGTTTAGCAAAAATCAACAGCAAAAATCATCTTTTGTTGTCATTGAAATGAATTGTTTTTATTTGCTCTCTACTATTTTTTATTTGGTTACAATTACAATATCAGTTCATTTTCATCAACAGTCTTGATTAACCTGGATCAATGTTCATAATTTTACATTCAAACATTACAATTTAACAAAAAATAAACATTAAACTGATTAACCAGAAAGCAACTCATTATATGAAATCTTTGGCTCTTCATTTTTCAATGTTGATTTATTTAATCACAGATTCGCATCAATGTTATTGGGTCAACATTTTTCAAGGGCAATGAGAATATTCAATTCACAGATTATCAGGGTAATTAATAATTGAACCATTTAGAGTCAAGAATATGGCAAATTATTTTAAATCAATCAAAGTAGGATTGGGTAAACCAGTTGATAATTATTCTGGTTTGAGTCAACATTGTTTTCATTTTTGGAAATGATCTGTCAACTGATTGCTCTTGCTTTTTATTTTGGAGTGAATTTGCTGTTTACCAACGGACAATCAACAGTTGATTTGGCTTCAGTGATTAACCATGGAAGAAGTAATGAAATGATCAACTATACCGATTCAATTAACAGTACAATTTACAGTGGTAATGCTATTGTGAACGGTAGCAGTGATGGCAGTTATAGCTTTGTTGGTAATGAAACATGGGAATCAACCGAAAGTCAACTGTTAATTACCAATTCAACTAGAGGCAACCAGCAAGTATCGCCATCACATTATCAAGATCATGAAGCTCTCATCAAAGCTTTCCTTGATTTATTGTTGGCTTATCGAACCAATGGATTACCCAATTTACAGGATGAAATGGTAATTGAAGGAACAGCAAACGCTTTTCGCAATTTTCTTAAGCAAGCCACTAAATACGTTGAATCTAATCCTGACCTGACAACATTTGCCTTTCCAGCAAAAAATACAACAATCCTGGGCGAGACAAGGAGACTGTTTAGTGACTGGGTAAAGATCAGAGTTCAAAGTGCTACTGATTGGTGGACAACAATAACGAAATATTCAACTTCAACATCTAAGCCGACCGTTGAGAGTAAAAAAGGTTAAGAAATTCATTTTTGGATTTGTTAAGTGAATAAAGAAAATAGCTTGAAATTACAATTCCAGTTCATTTTGATTAACAGTCTTGATTAACCTGTAATCGATTAATTATTTATGTGAAATCTTTGGCGCTTCATTTTTCAACTCTTTTGGTATCCAGCCGTTGTTTAGCTTTTCATACTTGGTTAAGGAATATTTGCTTTAACTTTACTGTTTAACATTTTTTAATTGTTTGATTTTTAGGTCACAAATCGGGACTAAATTTTGAGCAAATCACATTTTGGGTATTTTAATCTGAACTTAATTGTCTTTGAAAAGTTCATTTTTTGGTTTTTAAACTTCTAGTTTCACTGATTTTTCAATTGGTTGAGAAGCATAAAAAAACTGGTAAATCTCTTAACTTGGCTTTACTTTTTAAATATAAAAACTAGGATTGTCTTTATTCGCGTTAATTGTCTCTGCTTTTGCGAACTAAACAAACCTATCGTCACCTTCCGACTAAACTCGAAAAACATTCTGCTCTTACTGTCAACGAGATTACGGTATATCGACTTAAATCGTGAAGATGGACATTGTGATGTCGTCTTGCAATTAGTGTAATCGGTTATGGAGTCAAATTTTTCAGGTTTCATCAAATGACTTTTACTGTCAAAGTACTTAACCAGAAACAGGTTGAAACCTTATTGATCTAATCAACATAAACAACAGCCATTGTGTGTTGGTAGCAACATTTCTGCAACTTCTTGTTACCAAAATGAATATTTACAAGTTGCATTTCCAACGAATGTTTGCCCAAAAAAATGTCGCTATTTTTCCTCATCAACTTATAAACAGTGTTCAATACAAGTTGAAACATTATTTTTACATGATTGCCATTTATATTGAAAGTAATTTGAGTAGAGAGAAAAGCCTTAAAGTATGATTTAATTTTTCCTGGTTCTCTGCCTTTTCTGGTTCATTTAAATATCCATGTTTTCACATTATTTGAATTTGAGCTTGTTTTTGCTCTTATTTTCCCTGTTAATGTTATTCTTGTTTTCAGAAGAGAGAGAAAGAAAAAGGACACAATTTAATGTTTTCAAGATAAATGAACATAAGATGAAAAGAACAGAAAGTGAACTCAATTTTCTGTGATAAAATTCGGTGGAGAGGAAGAAGAAGAAAAAAAAGTTCAACGAAATGAAATTAGCTTCCAGGCTTTTGATAAACAAAATCCACATTTTCTTTGCTTCAAAACATCTTTCATCTTCCAACATCTTAATAACTTTTTTCTCAACCAGTCCTTCCATGAAACCCAAAATTTCATTTCAGGATAAAACTCAACCAATATTCATTCCGGTCGATATATATAAATAGACAAAATGTAAAATATATATTTATACAACAGCTTGGTGTCATTGGTAAGGATAGATATTCAATTCAGCAAAAAGAGTGGCAAACAAAATTATCCAAAAAAAGGATAAAAAGCCAAAAAGGTTGACCAGTAAACTTGGAAATCTTTTTCCAGGTTTACCTGAACATTTCACTTAATATTGAATGTTCTTGCTCAAACATGACATTCTGTTGAATCATCACAAGTAAGCAAACAAACATTTCTAACCAATTTGAATAAAGAAATTTTCATTTCTCAATTTTTTATCCATTTGATTGTTGAACAATATTTACATGATTCCTTGATTAGCAATGATCGTCTTACATGGAATTCAGTTTGCCTGTTAATCTTTTCAGCTTTTCCTCAATCGGAAGCTGATTTTAATATTATTGAAATTCCAAATTCTTGCAGGAAGAATCTAATGTTGCAGGAAAGAGAGGAAAAGTTTTACAATGAAAATGTTGCTGAATATTTCATCTACAAAAAAAGCTGCCTTAACTTTTTTTTTCATATTCACTTGGAAACTTGGAAAAGGCAGAAAAGGTTGAGTTATGATTTTTGCAGATACTTTGAGCATATATATTCTGTTGATTTGCAGAACTTTTTTATTCAAAATTTGCAACCATTTTCTTCTTGTGTCTTACTCTTTCTTGCTCATCATCATCATTCTTTTATTATTTCCATCATTATGTTAATTCATTTGAATCTTACAATCAAAGATGAGGCCGATGAGAAGCAGGCAACACTGGAAATCTATGAGCCAACCATGAATATGGTTTGCTCATCACAATGAATTTGAAATTTGTGTGTTTACCAATTCAAAGTTCATCTTTTTTCCTTTTCTTCTTTACAGACTTTTCTTTCATCTAATAAATAATGTAAAATGTGAAAATATCTTTGAAATATTGAAGTCGATAAATTTTCCTCTTCTAAATATGGTTTCATCGGAGCGTTCATGAAAATTATAACATTGGAAACAGAATCAACCTTTACTGGCAACTTTTGTTTTTCATCTTTCATGGTAAATGAAGGTTGATGATGAACAGAAAACAAAAGATCTTCAAATCAAGAATGAAAAAAGCTACAAATTATTCATGAAACTGTCGAATGCAAATGAAAAATTTATGTCTATTTTATCGTAAGTCTACAAGTTGATGAAGGCAACAATATGAGAAAATTTGATTCTTTTTTCTTTGATTTGTCAATTCAATGTAACTGAGTATTAACATGAGAGTAACTTTTGATTGAATCTAATTTGTTGGGAAAATTAGTGTAACTGTTCCTACGGCAAGATTAACGTGATTATCATATGACTTGTGTTTTGATTAATTAGTGTTTCAACTGTAAAACCAATATATGGATAATTGACTGTTTAATGTGTTATTAACGTTTGATTTATGATATGTATTAGATGATAACATGATGCAAGGTAAAACGTTACATGAATTTGTGTTACAAGACAAGCAACACACTCACTAGGAGATGAACCATTTTTGGGTTGAGATGAAAGAGTTATCACTACTGTTTGGCTGTTTAGCTTTTTCACTTGTTTTGACGGTAAATTACTTTTACAGTTTATTATTATATCTAAATTGTTACGAGTAAATACACTTACATAGATTGATGATGACTACTGTTGGAAATGTATTTTGATATAAAGTATCTACAATGGTTAACTACAAGAGCAACATCAAGCAACCTTAATAATAATCAACAGTTATCATCATTCACTGTTGGTTATCAATTGTCAGTGAAAATACTGATGACTGGATGATCAAGAGAAGAAGATGATTATTTTGGAAAAGAGCATTTCTTTTGGTGAAAAAGGTTGCCAAACGATAACATTGGTAACAAAAAATAACATGCAGAAGGACCACTTGATGGAAGCAGAAGGGAATCAGGAGAAAAGGCAAACGTCCAAATGAACCAGTTTGAAATGGATTTTTGATGATTCCATGTATTCTTCAATCTATATTACACCATTCAACAATCGTCTGATAATGTAATGTACCAAATGGTAATAATTTACATTCGCTTGATGTTATTTACAGATTAACAGGCAATTGTGACACTTTAAACTGAACAAACAGTCAACAGCTGAGTTACCAGACGATATAATTATTGGATATCAATGTCTTTTCACTGGAACTGGCCATCATTGGTTAACATTAAATACGTCTAATTGTAAATTACGATCCTTAATCGATATAATGTTGTTTCCAATTTTATCCCAACACGCCAACATTTAATTTGGATTTTTTTCCTCTTTCTCTATCTGTGAACATTTTGTATTGATCTGGTTAACGAAGCAATAACTTGATGGCGTGTTGATTAACAAATTACAGTTGTAAAGTGTCCTTAAAAACATTGAGTTATGTCACCATTGGATCGCACTCGATAATTAAACTCGAGCTTCCATTGATTGTTGCGTCCTTTTTTACCATGGGAAATTGTTGATTTAGATTGATTGGACAATAATAGAAATGCTAATTTAAATTGGAAATAAAACTCAATAAATCAAGAGATATTTTTTTTTGAACAAAGCGAGACTTTCTTTAATCAACTTGGCTACTTATTGAAAATGTCAACAAGAAATGATGTGAATAGTATCGTCAAATCAATCAATCTATCGTTCAATTGATCAATTAATCGATAAGACGAAAAGGAAGAAAAAAATGAATTAAAACAAGGTGAAAGTAATCAGTTTATATCATTGAAATGGTAATAATGTGATCGTAAATGGAAATAATAATTAAGAGGTAAAAAAAAGGTAAAGGTAAAGCATAATGAAAATAGGTAAAAGTAAATCGAGTGTAACGAGTTTAGACAAAATATCGATCTAATGGTATAAATCATTGATTCCTTTAAGGAGGACATGAGATGAAGAGGAAAGAAGCCTGTTGAAAATTATCACCCAAAATGATGATAATGATGATGGGAATGATGATGAAAAATAATGGACAAAGTAGTACATTTTACTGTATCCAGTTTAACCTATTGTTACCCAAATGGATAACAGATCCGAGTCTTTACAAATCCAAATGATTCCAACGAAACCATTTCAAACCCAAACTGTATTTCATAAAATTATCATTTTCTAATCTTAAACAATCGATAAATCTTTTAAATTTAATAAATGTTTACCAGGAAAATGGATAAACTGTTGTTAAAAATGACTGGTGAAGAGAAATTAAAATGAACCAAATTCTAGGTAAGTTAATAGAAATGAATATCAAAATTGTATTGTCATCTAAACTCTTTTTTTTCTACCTTCATCTTGTCTATCTTTTAACAGGTTATTATCGATAAAATATGGGCTCGGTTTGAACCATCGATCGGACCTTTGCATGTTCACAGAATCATCATTGTCTTCCTTTTCATCCTTTTTCATCCTTTTTCACCAACTTTATTCCTTCACAATGAATATTTGCATCAATACTTGAATAAAACTGTTCATTGGAATGACTTTTTTACTTTTGTACTCTTTAGTGAGTTTACCAGTTTTATTTTGGTTCATTTGTTGGTTTATTGGTGAACACACACAATGTTGAGATTAATTAATCTCAAAGTTTATACTTTAAAGGTAAATGTATATTAATAAATATAAATAGTAAGCAATCAAGCAAAAAATAAACAATTTGCTTACTCTTCTCTTCTCAGCTTTTTCATTTGTGCATCTTACCTTTTATTAAACCTTTTTTTCCTATCATCATCATCTTCATTTTCATCTTCACCTTGCCTACAACTATTAACATTATTCAAAGGCTTCTACTGCTAACTGTAATTAGTTTCTTCCATTTTCTGTTCTTCTTTTTTTTTGGTTGTTACCTTGCTCATCATTTAACTCAATCTATGCTAGTTGCTCAGCTTGTGAAATGATGATGATGATGATGATGATGATGATGGAATTAGTCACATGAAACATTTAAAACATCTTCACCAAGTTATAGGAACAAGAAGATAATGTTAATATTAAAACAGTGAAAGAAACAGTTTGTTATATCTCTAATAAACAACATAAAATGCACCTAACAGTGAATGCTTACGGTATATATTATCATACTTTAGACGTAAATGTACATAGAGCCAGTTTTAGGCTAATGTTTAGCCAACTCTTCAATAATTCTTACCTTTACTTTTATTAAATCCATTGAATTAATTATGTAGACGAGTGCATCAATTGATGGTAACACTTTCACTAGCAAAAGGGAAAACAATATCAATGGGAGAAACTCAAATCCAAATTGTTGTTTGTTTCATTTGGAGTTGTTTTTTTTCTTGGTTTGAACCTGATTCTCTCGGGTAATCCAGTTGTTATTTAAAATTATTCAACACTTGGACACATTAAAACTGTAGTTGGTTGATGAAACAAGATGAAACACTATTGTTGATTCATTTGAAAACCAATCGACTGGTGAAGAGATGAGTTGAACTGACACAAGATTCAATTGAAATGGAATAACTGTGAATCATAGTTTCAACTTTTACTCCTAGTTTTAAACCTTGTTTCTTAACGTAATTATTATATAATACTTTTTCGATTAAATTTTTTCTTAATTTCGTCTTCTCTTGCTCTTTCATTCACTCTTTTCCTCTCTTTCTCTCACTCTCGATCTCTCTCTTGATTCTCAACCCGGCCTGGTTGAAATGAAACCAGGGAAATGATGGAACAGCAACCTTGACAATCTTTGTTGGTAAAAGTTGGTTATAGACTTTCTCACTTTTTCTCACTCTCCCAACAGTCTCTGGGAGCGAGAATGATGATATTACTGGGAGTTGAAGGGAGTTAAGGCTAATAGACAAGTGCATGCGAATAGAAGAGTTGGAGAGGTAAAATTCAGACTGAATAGATTCCATGTTGAATGTTGAATAACCTGGAAACCAAGAGTTGATTTTTGCTTTGCTATGTAGAGCCATCTATCTTTGGTGACTGCAACTTTACTATTGGCTTCTATTAGCGGTTGCGTATTAAGTTGAGTTATGTTAATTTTTTTATGAGTAACAGGCTATGTAATCGTGTTCATTGAAATTTTCATCACCCCCTGAGATTGTTATCCTTAATAGTATTTGTTGTCGTTGTTTTCATCTTTGGACGAATCATCAGTAAAGTGTATTATGGAGGGTCAATACCCAAATTGGAACTCTCCTCCGTATGGTGAACCAACTTATGGTGAACCGGCTTATGGTGAACAGAGCTCAGGTAATCGTCAGATGTTGCTTTAAGTGTTTTACGTATTCATTTTAAATCATTTATTTACATTTGTTTTATTTTTCTTTCAAGATTTTGTCACCATTGAAAGTCCCATGGATAACTTGAATACAATGTCATCCCATGGTTATTATCCTTATTATCAACCTGCACCCGCTGCACCGTCAACCAATTCAATTTTCAACTCACAAACAACATCAAATGATCTGAGTGCTGATCCTTTTTACTCATCAACTACTTCAGGTGATCCATACGCTGATGAACCTCCATTGTTGGAAGAGTTAGGAATCAATTTTGATCAAATAATGCAGAAAACTCTTGCTGTTATAATTCCCTTTAAGAAAACTGAACAAAGTATCCTCCATGAAAGTGATCTTACTGGTCCATTGGTATTCTGCTTCGCTTTTGGAATGTTTCTTCTTCTTTCTGGAAAACTTCACTTTAGTTATATTTATGGTATTGGAATTGTTGGATGTTTATCAGTTTACTTTTTACTCAACCTTATGTCACCCACCCAAACGTCAATTTCATTCATTTGCACAGTGTCTGTATTGGGTTATAGTCTTCTTCCTATGGTCGTTCTTTCTGGCCTTGCTGTCATATTCAAGCTGAGCGCCGGTATAATTGGAAACTTCTTCGCAATGACGGCTGTTCTATGGTGTGCTTTAAGTGCCTCGAAGCTTTTTGTAACTGCTTTAGCTCTTCAACGACAACAACCACTGATTGCCTATCCCTGTGCTTTACTTTATGGAGTTTTTGCTTTACTGACAGTCTTCTGAGCAGAAAAGTTTCTTGTTAACCGCTTGTTTTCAATGGACTTATCAAGTCAAGATTCACTATTAAAGTCTTTGATTCCAAATGGATAAACTTGTCCAATGTCATCTTCAGTTAATCAACAACTTCCCTTACAAACTTATCATCGTCAACATCTTAAAGATGATCAAGTTTAACTTTACTTTTCTCAAACAAGCTTCAATAATTTTCATTCTCATTCATTTTTGTTCTGTCGCCAATCTCTTCTTGTGCTCTTCCTTTCATTTCATATTCCACCTCAACTTATTGGTTATCAGCCTAATTTATGGACAGAGTAAAATTGTAGCTACTTTGAAATGATGACCACTTCATGCTGTTTGATTTGGTATAGTCGCCTATCTTGTTATTTAAAACATTTTATAAGAGACAGGCTAATCAAGCAGAATACATCTTTTGCTGTGCAAAGTCCTCTTATCTAAAAATCATTATTTATTTAACTCTTAAGTTTTAAGTTTAATTCAATTATTATAATGAATAGAAATAATCCCGTTGCAAAGTTTTACTTAATTTTATATAATATTTTTCAATTTGTCGGGTAAGGCTTTTCGATTCAGTTTATCTTATTTTTATAAAATAGTTGGTATAATTTTTCTTTCCTATTTCCATGTTCGTGGCATTTAGATCGGGAATGGTCCTGTATGGATTGTTTGGAGCTTTCCAATCTGATGAATTGAATCAAAACAAATTATATGGAAAATGCGATTACCATTGTTATTTTTTCAAACTTTACAATCGATTGAAATTGTGCATGCAGCTATAAAAGTGGTTCCATCATCACCTTTTCTAACTTCTCTTTAAAACTTTTTTCGTTTCACCTAATATTTGCAGACAATTTGGTCAGTTTACAAATAAACATTATATTTCAATTTTGTTAAGGTTGTTTTTTACGGTACAAGAAGGGGGTGATTGCTGCTCATTCCCGTTGATGAAGTTCATAAAACGAAGTTTAACATCAAAAATAGAGAAAAGTTACAGGGAATATTATGATGGGTCGGTGTTAAATATTGAGATCCATTGATTTGATGAATTGTTGGATAATATGTTCTCATTTAGCACTGAAACTAACTTTAATAGTTTTACCACCGTTTTCAATACTAACATTTTGTAGCGTTACGCTGTATTCGCAGTTTATTTCAAGAAAAAATTTATCCCCAGACGGGCTAACTTTAATCACTGGAGGTTTCAACGGGTTGAGAAGTTGCACAGTATCTCGAGACTCATTCTTGCATGAAGGAGGTGTTTCGATCATGTTGTTAATGTTTTCCTCTACGAAACTTTCCTCGATAGTGTCTTCAGCATAGGGTACGTCAACAGTATCACAGTAAATTACTTGATGAGTATCTTCAGAGTCTCCCTCTTTAGAAAATGATGTTAATATGTTGGCGATACAATTTTCAATTTCTCTTGAATCACCTGATTGTTTGTTTTTATCGAGGAAGTTGCCAAATTCGTCGTAATTTGCAATTATCAATTCATTGATTCGATTAATCGCCACTTTCAGTACTTGCGAAAAAGATTTATAACAAACACGAACCAAAGAACCATCGAAAGCGGGTAACCTAAATAAAACTTGCACTGTATTGGCTGCATATGGAAGAACTTGAATCCATTCAAGTATAAGATCATTTTGTTCTTTTTTAGATTTTGGTATAAAAAGTTCGTGTATTGAGTGCAAATCCTCTGATGTTAAACTTGCTGCCTCACACGATTCAGATAACTCGTGATTACATTTAATTCTCACAGTCGGTGATGGCACATAGTTGGAAACTGCAGGCGATTCAAGAGGTATTTTGAGTACATTTCTATTCCGTACTTTAACATATTTCTTCTTTGGGGTTGTTTCATTTGTATCGGAAGATCTAGAATAAAATTGGAAAAAATATTTTATATTAAAACCATGCAATAACGAAAATTGTAATAAAAAGATTTAAATTCTTACATATTGTCAGCATCTTTGTCTTTGAACAGCTTGGAAATCAGTACATGCTCGTCTTTTAATTCGTGGTTACAATCTACAACCATCTGTTTGATGATGAATTTTTGTTTATAGTGATCGAAACAGGCATAGATATATGTAGGACACATTAGCTTGGCCGTTCTTTGATTTGGTCTGATTCCTTTCGATGTTGACCTGTAACCACCATAATGTTTACAGGTTAATTTCAGATATTGGTATTCAAAACCTTTGATAGACACAGTTGTACCCTCTTGCGATTGCGATTCATCGTCATTAAGATCACCACTGGAGTCAATTGATTCATCATGGTCTTGTTCATGTTCATCTTCTTCTGGTACACCTTCTCCAATCTTTTTGAACGTTTTTCTCTTTTTGCTTCCCCTAACTCGACTCTTAAGCTTCCTACTTGTTGTGATTGTCAATTTTATCGAGGTTTTACGTTGAAATTCATCAACAGCGGCTACAAAATCTTGCCATTGATCAAACTCGGCATACAATTTCAATTGTAACGAATTAAGGTCCAATTTACCGCAGTCCATTGTTGAATAGTAATTAAATATAATCTGATGCAAGAGATATTACAAAAAGTAAAACTTAAAAATAAAATCAAACTGCAGCAAAGAGATGGATGAAAGGGAACAGAAAGAAGGGTAAAAAGGAGTCATGAAATTTTTAGCGCTCTCTTGAGCCTAGATAGACTTACCTTCTAAATAGATACTTATCAATTGTTAACTGTACTTTTAACAAAGATGACTCGATGTATGAAACAACATAATAATTTGAAATAATAATCGAAAATATAAACAAATTTTTACAAACTTCATGTGTGTGAATCTTTTGATTTTAGACAATAAAATGCATAAATTTTTTCCATCAAGCAATGCCATCTATTAAACGTTTAGATTATTATAAGATCTTGGGATAAGGATCGGATCCATTCTTGAATACAGCTGTAGGCTTTATTTATCCTTGTTTATTTGTCATTTTCGGTGTTATTTTGGTGTTTATTTTGCTATTTATCTTGGTTTTTTGTGTACCAGAAGCATCAACATGGCAGAACGGTATGTTTTGCCTCCTCGTTGGTTAAAATGTCCTCGTAGAAGTGATCTAATTGCAGGTAACTTGATTCATCTAATTTTTTAAACATTTACTCATTCTCGAGCGTGGTTAAAGCATAGAACCTTTTCTATTCGCAACATCATTGTATTTCGATTGCCATTTAGCATAACTCCATCTTTGTTTTAATTCTTTAGATAAATTTGTTGCGATTAAAACTCCATTAGATGATAATTATAAAGATTTGATGAACCCTGGCCAGTTTTGGACACCAGAAATGGCATTACGGAGCTTTAAAACTGACAATGTATGTTGATGACAAGTGACAATGTTTTTTCGTTTTTAGAAAGGATTTCTTTATGGATTTGCTATATTTCATTCCTTCTCTTAGGTTAATATTGGTCTATGGATTGATTTAACCAATACATCTCGTTTTTATAATAAAGAGATTATAGAGAAAAAGGACGTTAAATATGTTAAAATTCAATGTAGAGGGTAAGTTGACCTGTTCAATTGTAAAATGTGAAATCTAATATATTTTTCATGCTTTGTATATAGGCACGGCGAATGTCCATCTCCTGAACAGACTAGAACATTTGTTAATATATGTAGTAATTTTTTCTCAAGCCAACCAATGAAAAAGATTCTTGTTCACTGTACTCATGGGTTCAATAGGACTGGTTTTCTTGTTTGTGCATATTTAGTGGAAAGACAAGATTGGTCCATCGAAGCTAGTGTCAATGAATTTTCAAAGTGTCGTAAACCCGGAATCTATAAAGGAGACTATTTAAAAGAACTTTTTGACAAATATGGTGATGTTGAAGATACCCCTGATCCTCCTCAACTTCCTAGTTGGTGTTATGACGAAGAAGACGCTGATGATGATGTAGTCAATAATGGTAATACTGGGTCAAGTAGTGGATCTAGTAGACGTGATTCAATTAAATCTAATGCAACTTTCATGGAGGGTATTAGTGGTGTTTCTCCCGCTGATCCAAAAATATGGCATGAGATCCAAAGAAAATGTAAAGATATGTGTGAATGGCATGGTTCAAATTTCCCTGGTAGCCAGCCAGTCTCATTAGATTTCAAAAATATCCATTTACTTAAACAAAAAAATTATTTAGTCAGTTGGAAAGCTGATGGAACCCGCTATATGATGTTAATAGATGGTGAAGATAGAATATATTTCATCGATAGAGATAATGCTGTTTTTCAAGCCAGAGGGATCCGTTTTCCTAAACGTAAAGATCTTAACGGTCATCTTTCCAATACTCTATTAGATGGTGAAATGATTATTGATGAACATCAAGGTCAGAAAACTCCTAGATACCTAATTTATGATATTATTAGATTTGAAAATCAAGAAGTTGGTAAAATGAAATTTGACGTTCGTCTTGTTTGCATTAAACGAGAAATTATAAACCCACGAGAAGAAGCCAAGCGTGCTGGAATTATTGATAGAGCTAGAGAACCTTTTGGTATTCGTCAAAAGGAGTTCTGGCCAATCCACTCTACCAAAGCACTTTTTGGAGCCTCATTTACTCAACAACTTTCTCATGAAATAGACGGTTTAATATTCCAACCTCTCGAAGATCCGTATAGAGCTGGCCAGTGTCCAGAAAGTTTAAAATGGAAACCAGAGACTCATAATTCTATCGACTTCAAAGCACAGATCTATACTGTCACAAAAGTTGCTCAATTGACAGAAAAGTATTTAAATCTCTATGTTGGTAGATGTACTGAGCCATTTAGTCAAATGAAATATTCAAAAGAATTTAAAGATTTAAATGGTAAAATTATCGAATGTACATGGGATTATGATAAAAAAACTTGGAAATTTATGCGCGTGAGAACAGATAAATCTTTTCCTAACTCTCTGGATACCGCTAATGCAGTTATGGAGACAATACTTAGACCAATATCAAAAGATGCTTTATTGAATTTCATTGAAACTATTCCACATCATCAAAAATCTACTCAAAAGCGTCCCTATCCATCTAATGATCGCAATTTAATGCCACCTCCACCCTCTTCAGACGTTGATCGGGAACATAAAAAAAGAAGAGTTTCATAAGTTCTGAATTATATTCTGTTTCCCTATCCTTTCTTTCATTTCACTCCTCCAGCCATGTACCTTTTAAACCTCGTTCTTTCTTTCAGCTATCTTCCCAACAAAACGATCCATCGTTAATTTATCAACCACCAAAACCACAAAAGATAATAAATCTCTTTTTCAAAAAAATACGTATTTATTGTTTTTCGCCGCAATTTATCTATCAATAAAAAATCCAATTTAAATTAACTAAATGCCCAGAAATGAAGGAAAGAAGATGTCAGAAGACGCCTTCCTTTATTTTGTCTTTTTTGTTGATGTTGTTTTTGCCAATGATTTTCCTCTTTGCGATACCATGTAAAAGTAAAGTTTAGGGAAAACTGAAAACAAAAAATGAGTTGATTAGTTGACATTTTCAATAAAATGAAGGACAGATTAAAAATTGAATGAAAAATTCAACTTACATGGTATGTAAGAAGCCATGAAGGCCATAACTGCATAATCAGTGTAGAATGATATGTTCAATGGATTTGGTAATTTGAAAAAAAGTAACTCTCGTTGCTTAATGGGGCCTAAAGCGGCATACATCAGCAATAGTTCACCTGAAACACCAGCAGGATAAAGTACAAGGAAAAACGAGTATCGACACCAAGTCAAGATGTATGGGACAAGGTTAATAATGTTGAGTGCATAGTATAAATAACGGGTTGTCTCTGCAAGACCCCAAGCTCCAAGTATGAGCAACAACCCAACACTAGAGCGAGTTTCAGGGACTGGTTCGAGAATGGCCCAACAGACGACTATTCTTGAAATAATTTGAAGAAAAGTTAGAAAAGGTGATGATGGAACCAATTTTATAGCTGCATGCACAACTTCAATCAACTGCAGAGTTTGGAAAAACAACAATGGTAATCGTATGTTTTCATACAATTTCTTATGATTTAAATCACCAGATTTGGCAGCGGTAAACAACCCGTACAGGACCATTCCCCATCTAGATGCCACAAACACGGAAATAGGAAAAAAAGTTACACCAACTATTTTATAAAAAAAGATGAGTTGAATCAAAAAGACTTACCCTGCAAATTGAAATAGGTTATATAAAATTAAGTAAAACTTTGCAATTGGATGATTTCTATTCATTGTTATTGAATTGCACCAGAAACAGAATAATTAAATAAATGATTTTTAGATAAGTAGATTTTTGCACAGCAAAAATGTATATTTATTGAGTAAGACTGAAAAATCAAGAATTACTGGTTAAATAGCCAGCATAACGTCAGGTAACAAGAAACCAAAAATTCTTATGCGCAAGTCAAAGCTGTATTGGCGAGATTTTCAAACTTGATTAATATCTTGTCAAACAGAAAGGTTGACAATTAAGCATTCACTAGTACAGTAGTCATTAGACTTAAGTTAACAAAAGCCGATATTTTTTTCATAGTCGCCATCTAACAAGAAATAAAAGTACCTTTAAGATCGAATTTAATTTTGTCCATTTCTCTATTGTCTAGTTTCTCTGAAAACTAATTAGAACCGAGATGGCGACACCTGAAAATTAACTTAACTCTGGCACTATTTTGTTAACTTAAGTCTAATGACTACTGTAGTAGGAAGATTAAGAGTCGAGTTACGGGAAACAAGAAAAGGTAGATGTTCAAGTTTACAAGCATAATCTATACTCAACACTTCTATTCATTGAAAAAACCCTGAACAACCATATTTTCAAAATAATCTCTATCTTGAGTAGTTTTCAATAAAGAAGCGTTCAAAGTTCATTTCCACTTTTATTCCGGATACGTTAGACTGTCAGTAAAGTAAAGCAAATGGATAGGCAATCAGGGACTGTTGTCGATGAAGAGCTAACGCAGTTGAATAATCTTGGAGTCACTTGTAGCACACCAAATAACAGCTGTCATTGCGACGAAATTACCAAATAAGACAGTTTAGTGTTGAGTATTTTCCGACCACAGTCAATGATGTCTGTTTCCATTCAGCCACATATCAAAAATTTCATTAGATATCTCGTCACTTCGTCAACCAATCGATTCGATTTATTGTACTTTTCATTCGCAAAGGCGATCAAGCTTAAATTGTTGGATCGACCAACATTAATTGTCATAAACTTTCTTATCATCAACTCTAGCTTTAACCAATATCAATAGATGGCGCTTGCTGCAACAGATGCAATTGACTCAATTATTGAAACATAAATCTTCATTTGTAAACTGACCAAATTGTCTCATGATAATAAAAACCAAAATAGCACTCAGAAAACCGTAAGACTTTCTCCATCAGCTGGCACATAAATATTTTTCCTAGTAACATACTAATAAACGCTTTATTTCATGGAAACACCAGTGTTAAGCAAATACTAAAGTTAGATGTTAGTAATTAAATTCATTGATACTTATTGGAAATAAAATTTCAGAGCACAATTTTAGTCAATCAGGTTCATTAAAAATTGACAGTAAACGTCTGTACATAGTCCAGGTACTTCAAATAGCTGAATACAGTTTTAAGATTGTAGCTGTCAAAACGGCTCGTCTTTATAAATTGAAAGAATCTAAATGTCCACTCAAAAGGCTGAAATGACGCTAAACATCAGTGTGTTATCAGGATATTGGTTAACGTAAAATCCAGACAAATGGCTTCTAATTACTTCTGCTCTGCCCTGTAAATGTGAATGAAAATGAGCTTAAAGTTTGGACGCAATAATTCAAGGTTTCCACTGAAAAGAGCTTTTGATTTTGCAGTTAATAACTCTTGAGTCAACATGCAAGACATTGTTACCTGGAAAAGAAAAGCTGTCATGGAATAGAAATGTTGAGAATGTTCATTTTCCCCTGTAACTGAGGAAGTGAAGGAGAAAAAAAGTGAATATTTGTTTGGTATTAAGTAGCAACTAGCAAGAGAAAAAGATGTTGATTTGACAAGGTTTCGAGTTGAAATTGTCATGAAGGAAATTGAAAAGAAGGTTGAAAGTTGAAAGCAAGAGTAAAAAATAAGCATTATAACATTTAGTGACAAGCAAATAGAGTCGAGATTGTCAAGAGTAAAATGTTGTCTCAATTAAAATGATACAGTTGTAAAGTCAACCAGCATGAAGTGGTCATCAAAGGAACTGCAATCTTGCTTCATACAATACAGATGACCAATAAGTTGAGGTGAAATAGGAAATGAAAGGAAGAGCGAAAAAAGAGAGAAAAAGATTGGCGATTAAAAGGAAAAGCAAAAATGAATGAAAATTGTTCAAAGCTTGATGAAGAAAAGTAAAGTTAAACTTGATCATCTTAAGATGTTGACGATGATAAGTTTACAAGGGAAGTTGTTGACTGACTGAAGATGACATTGGACAAGTTTATCCGTTTGGAATCAATGACTTTAATAGTGAATCTTGATAAGTCCATTGAAAACAGAAGAAGAAGAAGAAGAAGAAATCTCAGCTTCTTCCACATTCTTTTCATCCTGTTTTTCATCCAGACTTTCTCTTCTCTTGATCATCAAAAATCATTGCCAGTTAATCGCCTCAACTTGGCTGGTTAATGTTGCTCATGATGATAATCATCAAGTAATGAGGTTCACCTAATAATCGGACAAATATTGATGAAGAGCCAATCAATTTGGAAAAGGGAAAAAGGTCTTTCAACAATTATAAAACAAAATTGACATTTCGCATCATTGAACACCTTTTATAACATGATAATGTTGCTCTTTCATGATCATTCCAATCACAATGTTTCAAACCTTTTCTTATTGCCACTCCAATAGACTTTAACTATTTTCAGTTTTTGCCTCTTTTCCCCATCATCTTCCTATTCTGACCATTATTATTCTCAATCTTTCCAACTATTATCCAAGTTCATCTTCATCGATCCCATTGTCCTGTTTACCATTGATTATATTGCAAAATTTCAATCGATTAAAATGTTTCTTTTCTTTCTCTCTCTTCCAACATTCACTTTCACCTATCATCATTACAATATATTTATATCATTATCATGTATGAATAGTGAAATGATGAAAACAAATTGTTATTTCTTTCAATTGATTTCCAAGTCTTTCCCTTTAAGTGGTTCAACAATATTCACCGAAAGTTTACTTTTCAGTTAATTGATTAAGCTTCCATTGTTTAAGTTGCTCCAATCAATAAAATCGATCAATTTTGTGCTTTTTTGTCTTCCATTGTTTCAATAACTTTTAATGGGGAAACATTTTTTCAATAAACATTAAACTTCAATAAATCTTTACGCGAGATTTGGATAATTAACTCGCGTAAAAATAGTCGACTTTGTTCAAGTTTTCACTCAAAATCAAGTCGAGTGAATGATAAGTTGAAGTAAATCTAAAATTCTTTCTCTCAGAATCGCTGAAATAGTTGTCCATTTACATGATTTTTAAGCAAATAATAAGAATCAAGTTTCTCTTAAGCGACATCAGTGATGAGCGATATTGAAATTAGACCAAAATATCGATATTTTTTATCCGAAGTTAACATTCGTGAGTTAATATCGTCCTTCTCTGAGTGACATCTTTGGTTTGAAAAATGATGTATTTTGTGTTTCCAACAAAACTCTTTCACTCGATCCAAATTGATTAATATTTGACTTTTCTTTGAGCATTGACAATTCAAAATGACCGAATTGAAGGCTAACGATATTATTGCTCACAATTTGTTTCGAGTCCACCTGTAAATGAAAAGTTATTCATTAGTTGTGATCTTTTATTGAGTAAAAAATAGAGTTTTCAAAATGACGGCAATACAATGGAATCAGTGATAATGATGAGGATGAAGCTAATGGAAAGTGAAGGGCAAATATCATGAGCTTTTTCGCTTGTCATCAACATCATTATCAACCCAGAGTAAGAATCGAGAAATTTTCGTTTTCTTGGATTAACTGGTCAAATGCTGTTTGATAATAATAGCAATAATGCGAGAGGAAAGTATAAGTTAATCTGGTTATTTGAGTTAATCCAAAGCCAAATGTTATAAAGTTGCATTTTCAATTGATAAGGTTCATTTAATGATTAACTTAACCATCAAGAAAAGTATTAGTTTAACCAATTGGCTTACTTTTCTGGTTCACTATTTATTATTAGTATTGCCTTTCGTTTCAACCTTTTGTATCAGCTTTGGTTAATCAATTGAAAAGTGAATTCCCTTTTGGATGAAACAAGAAATGAAATGTTATTGTATCAATCAATTGGCTTATAGATGAAGCCAAAAGGCTAAAAAGTTTACACGATAAGTTAGACCACAACAAACCTTAGTTTCACTTGGACTTGTTAGCAACATTTGATAATCTTGAACATAAAGATACAAAATAATATTCTAGTTTCTAGAATGTAAATTGTCCAGTTTTTACTCTGAAAGATTAGAGTTCTAAATGTTTGATTAGGAGTTCGCCAATGTTGTCAACTGATCTGTTGATCTCTACGACTAGAACGGTGGAAAAGTCTATCAGTATTAAACTTTATTACAGGTTGTACTTTTATCTTGTAACAACCTAATGGTGTAATAAGGATAAATAACTCATGAGGTACAAAATAATGATTCAAGGTAAATTAACTTTGGTAACAAAATAAGTTGAACATGAAACATTTTTGCCTGAGAAAAGGTGAGATTATTGTTAGAGTGTGAGAAGAGGAAAAAAAGTTAATAAATGAGTGGTGGATTGAGAGGTGAACCAGTTAAATCCCAGATGAAAATTGATCAGATTTATTATTTATATTGTACAACAATTTGCGCCTTTTGCCTTTAAGCAATGAGAGAGTGAAAATAAGTCACTTGAAAGGTCAAAAGTATCTTGAAATCAACTATTAGACCTTTGATGGTAAATTTGTTGCAAGTCTTATTGCAAGTCTAATTGTAATCGAAAGTACGATCCAACGAAAAGTTTGTTACAAGTTTTTAGAGACATTGACTTGCATCAAGCAATTTCGATCAAGGTAAAGATGTCAATTGTCCATTTAGCTTTATATTACAGTAATATTTTACAGCAACTTTGACGACTCACCTTTCAATCAAATGCATTCCAAACCCCTAACTTTTTGATGAATAAACTTTCCAACATGATTTAATGAATAATCAACTGTCATCATCTTTCGATATTCTGTGCCAAAGTAAATCAATGAAACACAGTTGAGTAAAGTATGTTCTTATGAGGTTCTAATAAGGCTTTTTTCATGATATAATCACCATTTGCTGTGGTGAGCGGAGAGTGCTTATGAGACTCACAACTGAGGCTTAGCCAGAGCTTGTTAAAG